GTTAGATGCTTGCTCAGATACCGTCTCTTCATTTCATTAGTTACACATCATTATATATTATACATCAACTAGGCCTTTGGAAGGGAATTCACCATGAATGACTGCTATTTTTCCTGCTGTCTGTGTTGTTTAGCACCTGAAGGAATTTTGCAAATGGTAATGGCACAAAAAAGGCTATTTCAGGGAAACAGTGTCATAAAAAATGTGCCCAGACAATAGCTGAAAGACTTTCAGACAGGATCCAAAAATGTTTTCCAAGCTACAATTAGCCAGTGCAATGATCACTAGAAAATGTACACAAACATCCCTTCCTTTTCAATAAGCCCTCATTTACAAGAAATGAACAATTCTGGTTCAGATTCTAATTATACTGTATATGACGATTTCAGCTCACTCATGATTCGAATCATTTATTGATTAACGTGTCAATTATGTAAAAAAACATGCAATGAATCCGTGGAAAAGTTCAGTTCTAATATAGATCGATTACTGTGCCGGCTTAAGAGTGCAGGTCAGTGAACCTATGTTTTTAACTGAATCTTGCTCATCTTCTCTTGTGTGTTTTTCTCATTGGGAGTCATTAACCACAAGATCAACACTACAGTCCTGTTTCAAGGTTACCCGCTAAGCAAACATTGACAGTCCTCATCAACTCATCAACAGACAAAACGCAAGAACAGCATCATTCTGGAACTGTCAGGAGAGACACGGACAGTAAAAATAATACAAATCACAGGCAAAAAAACGGTAAAAGCCAGCATAAGAAGGAAAAAAGCCGGGGGACAGGAGAGATAAGAAAAGTGCCATTGAACTGCATCGCATTACATTGCATCGATTTTGAAGGGAGTTCAGTTAAACATAATGAGGGTCAGAATATAGGGCCCCGTTTCATTTTCGAAGTGAGCGATACTCTTTTCAAAACTGCTTATTCAAGGCCAAACAATGGAGGCGCTAAGGAAAGGGAAAAATTATGGAATTATCTTTACCATGGTGTCAAGTTGACCTCGAATAGACCTCAAAAGAGCCACTACAAGTGCTGAGCGAGAAGAACAAATGCATGGTTTGCTCAACCCTCACGTCCCAAAAATGCATTAGCCTTTAAGAGAGAGTGGGGTAAAATGTGTCAGTTGTTGCTGCAAAGGGTGGCACAACCAGTTATTAGATTTTTCACGACAGCTTTTTTCCCTTAATAAATGAAATTATAATTTCAAAACAGCAGTTTATATTTACTCAGGTTATCTTTGTGTAATATTAACATTTGTTTGATGATCTGCATCTTTTAAGTGTGACAAATATGCAAACAATGAAAAAAAACAGGAAGGGGGCAAAAACTTTTTCACACCACTGTGTATAAATGCAGATGTACTACATTCGCCATGTAAAAACACTAGTTTACGCCGGTTCTGCCCAGAGATGTGACTCACACGTGAGGCTGTAGTGTGTGAGCATCACAACTAGGGGTGTAACGGTACACGTATTCGTACTGAACCGTTTCGGTACGCATGTGAACCGAACGAATAGTTTTTTGTTTTTTTTCCCTCCGGAAATTCTAATAATAAATGGCGTTTTGACAGTCTTTGATGTGGCATGACAGATCGCTGTATAAACGCCTTGGAGAGCCGCTTCTGGGACGGTTCAGAAACGTGCTGGTATAATCCCAACAAAAGCTCTGACTAGCTCCAGTTCCCGTGTCTGAGCCGTGACGCACCGCAGATTTGTGCGGAGCGCAAGTGAACGCGGTCATTCCTTCCTCTGTACTACTAGTTTTAACGTGAATAAACAAACAAATCTTATGCCTCATGTAATTGCTCAATCAGTGTTTCAACCACGGAAAGACATCAACAATACAGCATGGAAATAAAATGTCACGTAGCATTTAATTTACCTCAGCAAGTCATCAGTGTCCACAGCTCGTTTGAAGTCTAGAGAGGAGCATTTTGCGAAATATTACACCATATACTCATTATATTTTACTAAACCTGTT